AGACACCTAGCTCTCTTAAAGCTTTGTTACCTATTGAAGTCTCACTGCAGTGCATACTTGAGACATTGTTAAACATTTAGTGCTACACTTACAAGTTGATGCTCTAACTGGTTGATTGTTTCATCCTTTTTCTTCAGTTCATCTTTCAGCTGCCTGATCTCATTCAGCAGATCATCCATCTGCAGTGGAACAGCAGACAACATGAGGTTTTCTTTAACGGCTATACAGTCTAAAGCAACACCCCTATGGGACATATTATATCAGATGTTTATGGAGGACAGGCAGTAATGTTAGCATAAGTTTTCCTCTTATTAACACAGTGAGACAGGCTGTAAGCATACAGCCTAAAGAGTGAAGAAGCTTGACTAGAAGCTTCTGTAATAGGCAGGGTTGAGCCAATTGACTGAATTTTCAGGCTAAGGTAAGTAAATTGGCTGCATTTTTGATGCAGTAATTCATCTGTTGTACAAGTGAATGGCATCACAGAGATGAACATCCCCAGCATCTACTACTAATGTGCTCCTCTTTATACAACAACAAAAAATAGAGAAGCTTAAAAGTTAAGTGAATTTATCATTGACATAGAATGATGGAAACATGAACAATATAATATAGAAACATAAGCAGAACTACATTTACTGAATGCAAACAACACAGCTGATTTGAACTACTATAAACTGAAGACCTGAAGTTCAGAGTAAATATTGGAAATATGCAATAATTTATTCTTTTAAAATATTTTTTCATCATTAGGTCAATTTAATGTGCTTTATAACTGTGCCATTATAGCTAGGCCACAAACTAAGGGACATACTTCCATTTAATAGCATTGATCTATGAATTCAGTTTCACTGAAGATGTTATTTGTTACCACTTTAGGACAACACTCTGATTTGCTGGGCAATTTTTCAAAAAACATTATGGTGTTGGGTAAAGATGTGACAATTCAAACTATCAGTTAAACCTAGCAAATTTTTTTTCTTATTAAGTTAAAAAGCCATCCTTATTCCTCTAGGAATTAAGACTAAGATTTTGAGGGAAGTGATTGTAGCAGGACAACAAACGCATTGATTAAAGAAAAAAGAAGGCTTAAATGAAAAGAATGATGCATACAGAACTAGAGCTTTGGTGAACCTCTTAAACCCTGAAACCAGGATTTGGACAGATGATCTTCAAACAGGAACAAGATTCTAAGTGTTCTTCCCTTTCAAGGAGTATTTCTAATTTTATTGTATATTCAGCAAGTATTGTTGTACTACTACTACTTACTACTGTAAGTGCAGGATTAGTGATGTTTCTGTATTGATTTTACAATAAGAGCCTCAAGCAATGCTATAAAATCCCTGTACTGTAGAAAGCACAACATTACAAGACTTGGACCATAAAAGATGATCCTTTTTGGAATATCCACTGTGAATGCTTTGTCCTTTAATATCCATTAAAAAAAAAGTCTATCTTTGACTTTGTGGGGTTCACAGTGTTTTTAAGTTACATCTACAACATCTGCATTAACTCAGGGAAAATTTATTTACATGAAAGAATTGTAAACTGAAGTCAATAATTCATTTAATGAAAGAACAAGTACAGTATGATTATACTTTAAAGCAAAAACTAGCTTTTCAATTTCTAACACTTAACAAGCTGGCAGCAAATTTTGGAAGGGAGTTACTCTACAGCTGTTAATTCCCACATGGCTGCTACAAATAACAAAAAGTGAAGTTATTTTAAATATTTAAATGGTGCTAGCATTTGTTTTAAAAAGCATGTATTTTAAAAGGTCAAATAAACCCCTCCATTTTACCAAAACTGAAAAGATCAAGTATATCAAATGCAAACCTAGCAAATGTTTAATAGATGAACAAAGAAAGAGGCACTACTTCACAGTGACAGAGAAGTCTTTGTGCTTTTTATACACAAACAGGCTTTTATCTTCTACTCTGTAGAGTCCCTCAGTGTCACTTACCTTGAAAGTTGTCTCAGGTTCTCGTGGTTCTGGACTTGGTGGAAGTGAGAGTGGGATGTCCTGGAGTGATATATTTTCATCATTCTATCAGAGAATAAAAACAAGAACTGGCTGATGCTTTGCTCTCTGTGAGATTTATATTGCAACCCATGAGATCTGACCTGGTTAAGTGAGTCTATTTATATTTCATGCATTTTTGTCTGAAAGTTTCATGACCAACTGTTGAACATTATTTTAAAGGAAACCTTACAACCAGCAACATAAACTATGTATATATTTCAAAGTTATGATTGAAATGGAGGATGAATTACTGGAATTAATATCTATTACCAAAAAGTTTGTTTGACTAGTTCCTTATGCACTAAGCTATGGCAGAAGTGCAAGAAGCTGGAAGACTCTTGTGCCCAGCTCACTTGGTCAAGAGTGGGAAGACACAGCATTGAGTAGGTGGCAGCTATTGCCTTCAGTCCTAGCTAGACACAGCAGCAGTTCATATCCTCAAACTATTTACTGAAAGAACTCCCTTGCAAACTTGCTTTGAAGGATGGACACACATCACTTGTCTCCAGAACCTCTTAGAATGTCCATTACCTCTCTCTGTGCATTCTCCTTTTCTCCCAGATAGGAAAGCCTCCCTTGCTACAGCATGTGCACAGTGCCCAAATAAGGGCCATGAACAGCCTTCCACTCCTCACAGAGCTGAAGAAACAATTGCAGCTATGCCAAAGTGCATTGATTTTGCAAAAAAAGTCTGGTAAAAACTGCCCACTGTGTTATATCAGAAAGGAATGGTGAAGCTATGTGATTTTTAAAGCTTCATTTTCTTCAGTATCCATTCAAATAATCTGTTTGAGCAATATCAAAATATTCAGACAAAATATTTCAGCCAGGAATTCTTAACTACTAAAGCAACATTTGCTTCTGGGACAACTAATACAAAATTAATTCACGGCCATCAGAGCAAAATATCAATTATAAAAACTGGAACCACAGAAAAGTATTCTTTCCCCCAGCATGACAGTCATAAATTCTGAAATTAAGCACAGCAAGTAGAAACGAAATAACCAAAGATGCCAAAAGATGATTGCCTGGATATGTCCTGAACCACTTTTGTCACTCTCATGACAAAAACACACACAGCCCTTCTCTACAGTACCTCAAACCTCAGGGCTCAGCCCTGAACAGGTTCCATTAGGTGACAAGTGTCAAGGCACAGACTGACGCACTGACAGCATATTCTCATGACACATTCTCAGGTTTGTAGCACAATGTTGTATCCAATCTCAGTGTGAGACAAAACTACAGTACAACTACAGTGCTGTTATTTTATGGACATGAGGGATCATAACGTACATTTACTGGGTGTAAAAAGATTCCACACCCCCTCCTTTCTGTCCATCTCATCCATGCTACCTTCTTAAAGAAGAAAAATAAAATAAACTTCTATCTTACAGTATTCTACTTTCTTTTTAGGGTTCTTAAAGGGGAGTTTCTTGATCTAATGACTTGTAGAATATAAAAGCAGCAACTCCCTAAAACCTGTCTGCCTTGAAACTGCTGTGAGGCTGAACCAGCAACTCCCTAAATTCATGGGAGTAAAACCACAGCTCAAATGCTAAGGATCAATTAAGGGAAAAACTCACAATACAACTATTTATGTTATATCCATGAAGCATCTTTTTTTTTAATCCTTAAGAAATATGGCTCACAAATTTTTAACTGAACTGCAGAGAAACATCAAGATTGTCCAGATGCAAAAAAAATAATAAAAAATTAACTTCTAACAATTAAGTTTTAACTTCTTCCTACAGTCACCAGTTAGTTGCAGCCAAAATATGCACAACCATCACCAGAATTAAAATACAAAAATACTAAGAACTGTCATACGATTCCAAATTGCTTTTGTCATACTACAGACAGTTAAATATAATTGCCATCACTAAGATGTAATTGTGTATCTTGAAGTTTTTTTGGTGTTGTTTACTTGTTTGTTTGGGTTATTTTTTACTTCTTGGCTTTTTTTTTATTTTTTAAAGACTATGATAGTGAGAGCAGTTGAATTTCAAGGCTTCTGACTCCTCAACATGGTGAATCCTTCAGCTTACCCTGTTGAACACACAGTTGTACTCAATTCACAAGTGGCTGGTTGTTCCTTCTGGGCAGAAAGCCAGCAAGTGACAGGCTGATGAAGCAGCAGCTAACAGTCTGTTCTGAACAAGTTCTAATAGAGTGTTTTAAAAATAATTTTCACAATAATACCATAAAGAAACAAATACTGTTTAATCTAAAACATTTCAGAAGTGGTAGAGGAAACTGAGCAGCAATTAAAACAATAGAATCATTTACAGATTAACAGATTATATATTTTGTACTACATTTCAATTTATATTAAAACAGATTTCATCAACACTTGTTATTTTAAATGTGTATTGAAACAAATACACATGCTCAGAACAAAAGTCACAGCTGTAATTGTGAAGGAGCAATCATGGGAATGGAAAAAACAAAACAAGCCAATGTATTTCAATCAAAAGTAGCTTGCAGGCTTTTAAAAGTTGTATCACTGATACCTCTAGTACATCTTTTAGTTCACATTAGAATGCATTTAAGTGAAGCAATAGAACATTCTAAAACAGCAGATTAAGACCTAATTGCAAAGAAGGTTAGTATGCTGCATATTCAATGGTGATTTAAATGAAGTCCTCCAGCCCCATGCTACACCTGACTAGCAAAGCAAGCTCATCTGCATCGATTCCCTTACCATTGTCTTAATTATCCTAATACATATAATGAACACAGGGCAACTAAAAAATAATTCAGTTCTAACACTATCAGCAGGAACTTAACCAACCCATTGTGAACACTTGCTAGGATTCATCTATATAACTTGTTTTGTTTTGCTTTTGCTTTCTTCTTCATTGTTTTGCTGAAGTGAGATTGGTGAAGCAGAATAAGGTTATCAATGTACAAGAAAGAGATTAGATTGGCAAAACCCTCTATGAATTAGCAAAACAAACGCAAGTGGTTATATGCATATTCTATTTTGGTGGTCTAGAAATTATATGCTAAAATATAATCACATTTCAGAAACTTGGCGAGAACTTACACTAATTTTAACCTTCAGATAAAATTACAGTAAACTTTCTAAAGGTATCTTCACACTGTAACAGATAATATAAAAAGCTGTTACCTCTTGTTTTTTACCTAACATGTTTACAGTAGTAGAATACATTATTTATCATACAGGTGCAACAAAAGCCTAATTTCTGCCAAATGTAAAAGATGTTTGCAAACACAAGAACCGAGGGCAGCTCATGAGGCATATAGAAAACAAATGCTTATCAAATACATTGACAAAGAAGTTCTACCTATAAACATAGGTAGCAAAAAAACCCAAACCCATTTCCTCAGGAGATTGCTTTCGAAAAACAGCAGCATTACAAGAAAAAAAAAATTGTTGTTAATGTTTAACTTTTTCTTAAATTCAAAACGCTGCAACTCAAACCTCTTACATCCTGACAACCCCGGCATAGTTATTTTCAGTTTAGGCAGGAAAATAACCTGCAGTATATCAACTGACAGAGGACTGATGTTGCAGACATTCACATTTAATTAGCTACGGAGGGATAGTCTTCAGTTATAAATTGATTTTTTTTTAACCTGATATAAATTCATATATATAAATTGGCACACAATGTTTAATCAAGATCATACTCATTTAAGAAATCACTGTCTGCAATTACTTTCAACTCATTTACATTTACTGGAAAGATTTTTCTGGACTTAAGTCAACAAAATATAATTCATCTTTTAGCCAGTTCTAAGTAATGTATGTAATAAACTGAGGTAATCACATGCTTCAAGATAGAAAATTATAGGAAACCTGGAGTCAGAAACCATTAAAACATACTTCAGCAAGACTCAGAAAACCATCCTATATTGACTACTAGCTACATAAAGGGAACAGGTAGTGGAAAAAATAAATCCACACACAAATTCCCATCAAACACTTTTAGAATACTCAAAAACTTAAAAGGTTACACAGGCAAAAACCTTTACAGTAACTTTTTAAAGACAAGTGTAAATAAGTCACCTCCCCTCTAACATTTTATAGTATTAGCAGTGCCTAAACACCAAATCCAGAATGTCTGAAGCTTTACAGCCATGACTAAGAAAGTAGTCTGATTTCATGCTGAGAATTATTTTAACTTCATATTCCTTTTCAAAGTATATCTGCTGAGAAAATACCATCTTAATTTTCTACAAGTTTATGTTATTGTTTCAGGATAAAGTCAGTAAGAGTTAGACAGAATTTTTAAGTGTACATATAGATAAAATAGATGACAGTCCTTTCTTTGCTGATTCTTAACACTGTCAGGCACCTTGTTTCTCCAGACAATTAATTTTCCACATGTCAAATATTTTTACACACCCACTCCCAAACATTACAGTCTAAACTGCAGCTCTTTATTGCATTCTCAGGTCTGCATATGTAATTTTTAATCCATCTCAAGGACACGAGCTAAAGGTTATGGGAATAACCCTCTATCATGGCTGTCAAAAGTACAACCTCAACTCATTCAAATACAAACAAATACAGATTGAAACCTGTATTTTTGAGTGCCTGTACTTAATATGCTCTCATGCTAATATTTTACAAGTGTGAAACCTTTAACCTTATAAATTCCCAAAGAAGTGATTTATTGTTTTTTGGTAAACAGAGCACTAAATATTCCTTTTTATTTAGTGACACTTCTTAATAAATAATAACCTCTGTGAAATAGAAGTGTTTAGTCAAGAACAGCCTAATAAAGAAATCTCTTTTTCTTTCTAACCTGTGCTGATTATATACAGCAGCAGTTTACCTACTATAGATTGTTGGGCTTTGAGCATTGCAGTTTTTTTTGCTGATAAACAGTTTAACAGCTCAAAAACGCCACACTTATTTGTATTTCTCCTCTCCTCTCAGAAGTTAAATGTTTTATTTTATGTGCCTCTATTTTAAAAATAAATAAAAACCCCACAGCCATAAATAAAGTCAAGCTCTGTGACTAAATACATCATAATAGTCCAGGGAATGTATTTCAGCATTATAAATGAGCCCCTTCTATACAGCAGACTGACTGTGCAGTTTTTCTCCCTGCCTATACTTTCCTTCTTCTCCTTTCCCTTTGCTTTCTTTAGGTGATATTAATTGCACACTTTAGTTAAAAGCACACATAAAGAAAAATTGTAGAACTTCTATAATAGAAGGGATGAGATGAAGGGTATTATTCTCCTTTAGAAAAAAATCTCCTATATTGCCTCAGAGGAAGAACTCAAAGCTTAAAACAATAGTTGCTTTCATTTTACTAACATATTTTAAATCCTTCTATTACAAAACTAACTTTCTAGAACCAAATGCATTTTCAGCAATTATCACACAGTTCCCAAACAGCATAAGCTGCCTTTCAAAACACAGGATTTTAAAATAATATACTATTAATAGTATGCTAATAATTTCACCTTGAGAATTCTTTAAAAGTTCCAGCATCTGCACTTTACTAAGAAGTTGAAAAGTGCTGAAGAAACATTGCTAAAGTTTATCAAGATTTATGAAAGCAGGTGCTATTCCCTGATGACAACTTGGCACCATGAGTGTAGTTTCATTCAAGTATCACTAAAAATCAGTGTCATACAGTATCCACTGCCCACTGTCAAAACATTTATGAGAGTCCAACAGCTAACCAAATGTTTAAACTTGAAATTTTGTCAATTTTATTTGCTATTCTTTGGTGATTTCTTTGGTTCTTATTCTTTCAAGCACAGCTAAGTCACTGAGGTGAACTATTTTGTGGCAGAGAGAGAAAAAAATAGGTGCAATTTATGCAACTTAATATCTTAGTATTTCATTAACTAACCTGTTTCTTCTTTGACTTCAGGCTTCTTACAACAAAGATAAGCAACTCTGCAGATCTCACCAGATGCAAAACCAAAAGAGTACAATGAATACGTACTTCAAAGATACTCAGGTGACTTACTAATCTCTAGCTTCAGCAAAAATACATTGGTGCATTTCACAGTTTAGCACTACAGACTCCATTTTTTTCATTCATTCCCCTTCATGCAAGTGGGCTAGTCATATCTGGTAAGTTTCACTGAAGATCTGGGCTTGAAAAATAAGAACTTATTTTCCATTCATGACGGGTAAATTGAAAAGAAACATTTTTAACAAAACTTGCCTCCCCCAGAGAAAAATGGGCTTCACAGATCTCACAGTTCTTTGAACTGCTTCATGTTTCAGTCCTCCTTAAAGTATCAGTAAGTGCTCATCTGAGATAAGACAGGGTGGCTGCAAATCGCTGCTGCCAGACTGGAGAGGAAGTTACTACAGAGGATGGTCAATCCTTGACTAGATCAAAGGCTCTCGGGCATCAGAAATATCACAATTCTTATTTAAATAAGGATGTTCTAACACATTAGCTCTGTAGCCTCAACCTAAAGCAACAAGTTTAAGAAATTAACTGAGGAGGAGGAAGGAATTTAAGATGAGAAGAAAACTTATTTACTACTAAGCATGCAAATGAAGTACCTTAGTCAACGTTTAAGAGGCATTAGCATTTAAATGTCAGTAATTACTAGAGCTAAGACTTCAGAGCTTTTTCTTCTTACAAGGCAAAGTTAGTGCTCTGGTTAAGCATTAAGTGAGAAGATTCACAAGTAGCTCCAAATCTCCTTGTAAATAATTATAACTGCATGTAGCACAAGAAGAACCTACAATTTTCATTCCATGTAAGCTGCTGTAAGATCATTGCCAGATCAGAGGTTACACTTACTACAGGGAAAATGTTAAAAAACTCTGCATGATGGCAGCATGCAAGAAGTAAGCAGACAACACATGTACTGCTGGTACTGCTATCCTGGTCACAGAGTTCAGAAAAGGCTAGACTGCTCAAATAACTACTTATTTTTCCAAGCAGAACTGGGAACACAACACCCAACTCATGCTGTTGCAGTTATCTTACCAGTAATATTCAAGGTAATTTATATATGGTGATGTGAGCTACAGTCACAGCAATGAATCCCATAAAGCACATTAAGCCTCTCTAGGAATCTGCTAGGTATACATTCATTATATGCTCTGCTTTACAGTAAGATAATTGTATGAAATGGACTTTAATTACTGTATCTTACTATCTTTCTACAACTGTTCCCATGAGACCTTATGTCTAAGACCTGACTACAGCTCTATTTCTATCTATCCAAGTAATACTGCCAAAAGTCATAACTGGAAAAAGGTAACACTTGTATATTTAAATATATAATATAGGTGAAGCAAATATAAGAACTCTGCTTCCTTTACTAAAGACAGTGGTTGAAAGCAGCTAAGTTTGTATCTTGCTTTTTAAAGTTTTGAAAGAAGAGGCCTTTCATATAACCCAGAATGAGACCAAGTTCTAACTTAAGTGTTCAGACAAAGCTCATGTAATTGTTTTCAAATTTGTATTTCTGTTCTTTACATGGAGAAAAAAAAAAAAATTAAAAGAAAAAGACCTGCAATATTTTTACTCACTTGTCAGTATAAATTCAATATTTTCAGGAAAGGTTTAAGCCTTAAAAATAACAAAAAGATATATATATATGGAGAGAGAGAGTCTTACTCTGATTGTTTAGTAAATAATGGTAGTAAGGATCTAAAGTTATCCCCTCTGTAGCAGGTTAATTTACTTTTTTACATTGCCATTCATATTGTTTGATTAAAAGGTTGGACAATACACGGGTGTAGATTAAATGTTCAGAAGTCTAGTGACGGGTTTTGGAAGCAGTGAGTCAAAATGGGGACATGAGGTCAGAAAAATACAGAGAAGTGTGCATGATCAAGTTTGAAGGGAAGAGTAATACTTGTTATTACACAACCCTACATTACAGGGAGTGAGGCAGAGAAGATCAATTTTTTGGCAAGAGAAGCAGCAAGTTTTGAAGAACATACATTTCTAGGAGTAGCCTTCTTCTGAGAGTTTAAGTTTTTTAAGAAAAACTTAAACTGAGCTACTTGAGGCAAGGTTTGTTTTCTGGAACCTTTTAGAGAAGTCTGGCTGTTACAAACCAGATCAAGATTTAAAACACAGTATCCTGCAGGGTCACATACTATTTGGCTGTAACACGCATGACTTTACACAGTGATCTACACATGCACAGACCATCTATCTAGTTGTTTAATTGTCCTTGTGTTAAAGGTATTAAAGGCTCTGGATAAGCATTCTCTGCCATGTCATGTAATAACTGGATGCTTGAGCCTGTTGGGAGGCACAGCTTACGCAGTTCACTACCCAGACACTAGGCTCTAAGAACATACTTCGCTCTCTGACACTACATTCTTTTAGCTAGAATGATACTTTTGATTTCATCAGTGGAAAAACATCTCCAGTATTCTCAATTACCATAGGAAGCAAATGCTCACATTTCTAAAAGGCACAGTCATACCCCTGAATTAGCTTCAAGGCTGATTTGCTTTTTGTTTTGCTGTGTTTTGTTTTAGTATCTTACTTTCAGAGCACAAATTTATTTCCACATTATTGTGTGAGGAAAAAAACAACAGTAAACCTACAGAACACCACACAGATACTTTTCAATGCTAATCTGTATATGTCTCCAAAGAAAGTCTCAAGGAATTTTTCTTTTTAAGGTAGCAAAGGAATTTTTGAAGCTGAAATGCCATACTTCTGCTGAAGTCATCAAGCATTTGAGCAATTCCAATAGAAATGCCCCAGTAGGATTTGCTAAGCTTTTTGTTAAAACATACAGAAAAGAAGGAAAACAAAGGCTTAAAGAGTTATTACAATTGACTCGCTGAATGCAGGTTTGATCAACTGAATCAATTTTAAAAAAAATAAAACTAAATTAAAATATAATCTCAGCTTTTTAGAATCTTATTAAATAAAAAATTTTCTTCACGTCCACTGAGTTTTTTTAAAATCTAGCATTATTTCCTCAGAGAAGAAGAATAACAATACTTAATATTTTTTGCAAAGTGCTGAAATGTCAGAAAAAAGTACTACTTTACAGAGCAATAAAAAGTGCACACTTTCTTGAACACTGAAATTCAATGTATAAAGGAAATTATAACAGCCTAATAAGGCCAAACAGAACATTAGCCCACTTAGGCTCACTCTCCAAAATACTTTACTGCTTTTGTTCTGTTTAAACAGCTCACCTGGTGCAATAATCTCTTCAGCTTCAATAACTGAGTTTTTACAGCTGTGCAGTCCTGGACCATGTGCCGAAGTGTCATTTCATCCAGCATCACAGTGTTCTCTGCTAAGCCCACCAGCTGTCTAGGAGCCTGGTAGAAATTTGGTGCTCCATAGCTTTCCAAGTGACCAACAGGAGATTCTAGGTATTTTGATCCCCTTTAAAAGAATAATTAAAAAATAAAAACACAGTGATGACAAAACTAGAGCTAGAAAGCAGTTAGTAAAAAATGAAGTGTTCTGTAACATGGGCTATCTTAACACACTGTGGCATACAGCAGTAAATAAAATACATTAGGAAATGTCAATCCCATTTCACTGAAATGCTGGGCTTTCCTTCCCACATGCATACACCTCTCACAGTACCCAAAAACCAGTTTGTTCATCAGGATTTCTATAAACTGCCATTCAAGCCAGCCTCCAAGATATGTTTACATAGAATTTTAAAACAAATCAATAAGTAAAAAGCTGTCCACACTTACAAACTGCAAATAAGAAGACAGTGTAATGTTTTTCCATGGAACATATATGGTAACTTAATCCAGGCTTTGTAGTATCACATAAACACAAGCAACATATTTTTTTATTTAAAACCGTGACAGAAACAAAAATTTTGAAAAGAAATTATAAATCTCAGTGATGTTCCCACCCAGACACACTACTTACAGACATACAGCTATTCTGAAAATGTCATGTATGCAGTATCCCTTGAGACCCTTCTGTGTCAAAAGACATTTCTCATCCTGGTATTTCAATTGCTTGGGAGAAAAGAGACAAGTCCTTTACCTGTTCAAGTCATTTTTACCATGGATATAGTGATCAGTGTGGCCAAGATGATAGTGATCCTGTGTATTCCACCGTTGTTGTGGTGCTCTTTTCCAGAAACCTTCCTGATGTTGCCTAGCATTTCTGTCTTGTCTATCATAACGGCTCATATTTTCACATTCCTCTACAGAGAGCATAAAGTAAAAAAAATAATAACAAAAATTATAAAATTTGTTCCTAAGTCCTTGTAAATACAATATTTGCAACATGCTGGTAACAAATGCAGTGTAAAATCTGTGGGGATTTTAAACTGATTTAAAAAAAAAACAAAAGCATTTTAGGACTGCCAAGCAGACTTCTGAAGTGACGGCACATTTTTACTAGGATATAAACTGTTAAAAGAACAATAGTAGCCTGTAGAAAATAAGTACAGAATTTAGTCTTATAAGTATTTCGGATTTAAGTAAAAAAATCAGTTGGAGCCAATAAGGCTATGGACAAGAGAAAAATAAAATCTGTAAGTAACATTTTCCTGTCTTCCTTAGTGACAGGATCTTCAGGCCTTTAAAAAGTTCAAACATCACATGAATACAGAAAGACGACATTTCAGAAAAAAGCGAGTACTTAGTTCCAAAAGAGAAGGGTTTCATTACTTAAAATACATATATATCTCATCTCATTAATCTTGCTTATTTAAAAGATTGAAAGACCTTGAATCTTTATTTACCTGGACAACAAGAATGACTTACAACAAACAAACCAATCTCTTTAAAACATGAACTTCCCCAAAGCAAAGCAGCAAATTCCACAAACTCCTGACGGGAACTAAAGCTATATTTGGCAACAGCTTGTAAACCACAAGAAACAGAGCCAAAATAAGTGCTACCCGTGCAGTGAGACACAGCAAAAAAAAGTCATGAACTGTTACTCTGCCATCGCATTTTCTCCTTCACTTACCCAAGGAGTTTTTCCTCACATTGTCAGTCCTTTGCTAGGAGAATAATTTACACGAGAGAACACTGTTTTATTCAGCTGCCTACTCAGACATAGCTGCGCATAAGACGCTCATAAACAGGCCTTCCTTCCTGCTCAGCTCCCAGCCTGCGTGCTGTTGGGAAGGGAGCCCAGTTTCACCCTGTGATTTAAAACTGCCATCCTCACTCACTGCATACTTGTTGAGCTAGAACTGTTTCTATAAATAGTGTCCAAGCGGTATCCCAGACTCCAGAATGAAACAAGGAGAGTTTCTGTAGACCTAGAAAGTCTTAAGAGGTTGGTGTCAGGGAAGCCACATAATTACAAATAGAGTGTTGGCAAAAAGTGCTGTTAAATATTATTATAACAAATGTTCATCTCTACGATTCAATTAACACCTAGTTCAATAACCGAATAAGTAGGTAAGAAAACAAAGTTGCTCATCTAAAGTAACAGTAGATTTCCTTTAGAAACATCCTTCTACAGCTCAAAATACATGAAAATTCAAGCAAGTCTACTCAAAATAAGCCCTCAATAACTTTAAGTAATTTTATTATAATTTTCAGCTTTGGAAAATGAAATTAAGAACTAAGTACAGAGAAATTAGTATTAACAAACTTTGTTTTTTCAGGTGGTCATAATTATTTAATGGAAAGCCTGGAGGTGACTTTTGAATACTGCTATTCAGATCTTCTTTGCTAAAAATTCAGGGGTTTTAACATAAGAAGCAATTATACAAGACACCCCGTTTATGCCCATTTAATATGGAAACCCAACTTAAAAAACAGTCAATAATAATAGTCATTAGCTAATATTGATGCCAAACAGCAAGTCTCTCCTCCTGAACCAGCAGCTTACACAGCAGGTTGTTGTAGCCACAAAATATATTCCAGCTGCACAAACTTTATTGATGCTAAGCTGTTGAAGTGAGTAGGTTTGTATTGATGCAATTCAGAGAGCAGTGAATTAAAATCATATTTCATTTGTGTCTAGATTAAATGGTAAACAAACTTTTTTTCGTACCAAACATTCATCTTAAATGCATGCATTTTTAACAGTTTTCAAGTGAGTAATTTAAAATAGAATTACTGATACAGCATCAGTGCATGTTTTAAACATTTTATGAGAACATTTTATTCTCATTTTATGAGAAATTGATCTAACCTGTAGAAATGTTTCTTAATTTTTCCAACAGGATTAAAATCACCATTACTGAAAGAATATCTATGTGTATAACCAGTAGTACTGCAAGAAATCACCTAGGCTTGGATTGTCATTCATTCTGGAAAATTAAAAAACTGTACACTTATCTAGGCTGAAAATTTGAATAGTAGGACTAATGTTAGTACGCAGCTTTCACACAAGTATGCTGGAAAACTTAGTCTGAGGTGTAAAAGATTGAGTACTACACTTCATAGGTGCACACTTGAAATGTGCCACCGCTGCAGGAGATGGATCAATGTATGTTTATTTACTGCTAATTTGGCTTCATAGCTTGCATACACACTGAAGTCTTCCCCAAAAGCACTGATGGAACTCCGAAAGAAACTCAGTTTCCCCAGTGTTCAGCAG